TGGGGCGGGGGGGGGGCAGGAGTTCTAAAACAGATTTCAAAGCACTCACAGTTATTATTTTCTTTTCATATCCCTGCCTCCTTCTTGGACTCTGGGTCCTGTTCAAATGTTAGTTTTACTGGAGTGTTTTATCGAGGCCAAATTAACACCCCGACGGGAATTAATGCTCACCTTTGTTCTGCAAGCCTGCTCCCAGCCCGCAGTTAGGTGTTGAACACATTTTAACACTCAAGGACATTTCACACCAGAAAAAGGCATCAATTTACCCCAGGCCTGAGCCTCGAGCCTGTAGCCCTGCCCACGCTGGCTCCAGATGCCTCCGGTGTCCTCCCCTCTCCTGCTCGGGCTGTCCCCGCGTGGCACTCTCAGCGCAGGACACTTCTGGATGTCGGGCGTCTTTGGCATAATGCTCCAGTCCCTCCGTGTTACCTCCCTTTATGTTTAGCCCCAAGACAGGAAGAGGAAAATAAATCTTGTTCCCTGCGGGTTGTCAGTCCCCGCGATCTGGGGCCTTCAGTCTAGGTCTCCGGGCTCACCGTGCCAAGCACACTGCGGCTGAATACGGGTTCTATTTCATCTTGGCAGACGCTCGGGCTTTCCACACACAAATTAACATGGTTTCGTCTCGTTTTGACACCGTAATGTCTTTTCCATACACCTGCTCTGACGTGTTCATGAAATCATTGCACCCCAATCAACTGAGGGGGGAATCAGCCTGTTATGCAAACACGCCGGAAAGTGTAGGCTACTTCTCATGCCCGGGTCTTTCCTGCCAGAGCTGGCTTGGAAAGATAAATTCACCCTGCAACTCAAAATAGGCACATTTGATTTTACAATCCCACTATTTATGGTATGCATTGTGCAAAATAGTAGCCATCTTGGCTAAAAGGATAACTCTTAAAGTAAATCAAATTCAGGATTTTATAGGAAATATCCCCATCTTCTCATGTTTCAGCATTTTAAAATTATAAAAAATACTCTGTCTGGTCACTGTTACATTTCAAATAGTAGTTATGGTTGTTGTGATTAATGTAAATGATAATATTCTGTGTTTTTTAAATGCTTTCACCTACCTCTTGCCACAGGTCCAATAAATCCCAGTATGAGTACTTTTATTATAGACTGAAATTTACAGGCAGAATCTGAATCTCAAAGATGTTGTCCAGGAAGTCTGTGGCACCAGGTCTCATTAGTGGGAGAGAAGGAAGGAAGGAGGCCAGGACTTCAGCCCTGCACCAGCAGACCACTGCCCCACAGAGCACACGGGGCAGACATGTCTTTAGTGATGTGCGTGCCCCTGTTTCTCACTGCCCCAGACAACTTCCTGAGTCCTGCAGGTTTTATCTTATTTTTTAATCATCAGTTTCATTTTGCGATCCAAAGAGTAACTAGCCTGGATCATCTGTGTGTAGGCCCTGCCCAGGTATCTGAAGGCTTAGAATGGCCCACACTCGGTCATTTGTCTAATAAGTGGCCACAGGACAGCACAGCATAAAAAGGGCTTTCTGCCTCAAGTCTCAGGCTACAGCGCCCTCTAGGGGTGTTGTGCCCAAAATTCTAGGATTTGCTGATAAAGAAAGAAAACGTGAAACAAACAGATACTGTTTTCATCTGTGTAAAATAGGAGAAATGTTTGGTCTGCAGTGCGGAAGTGTGCACTCACCAATCTGAAAGTGAGGCTGCTCTGTCTAAAATGCCCAAGAGCAGACCACTTCCACCTGCCCTCGTCCACATCAGGAGCTCTCGCCCCACAAGACGGGAGCCTAATGCTGCCTTCTCTGTTAACTCTTCTAAAGGTCATTAGCAAAACCAATGCTTAATAACCTTTTATGCCTTCATGTTCTCGGAACCCATCAAACTACCACAATTCACACCACAATTCAGTGATTTCTATGTTAGTGTCAATTTCTCCCCTAATCCACTCCCGAAATTTACCCTGTGAAACCCTCAAAGGCAGGAATAGTGCAATTTTCATTTCTCCAGTGACTGGCACACAGAAAACCTGTTACATGGACACATTTGGTGGACATCTGCCAAAAAGAAATCTCCCCCTTTCACTTCCTAATGATGGCCTTAGATATTTTCTACGCAGGTAAGAAGCTCAACAAAGCTGACTTCTGGGTCCAGTTTAAGAACCAGTGGGACCCCTGACCAATCGCCATCCCCCTTTCCTACCAATGTGACACGTCCTCCCCTTCACGGGCCACTGACCTTGTGGAGCCGTCACCTCCTCTCACCTCTGGTGACTCTGAGAAGCACACACTGGACAAAAAGAATGATACTTTGGTGGAAGTAAATGGCTGATTCTTCCTAAAGTTGGCCAGAAATAGGATTCTTTTCTTCAGGTGTCAGACCTTCTTTTAAATTGGGGGTGTTAAAAATGAAGTGTTTGAGGCCCTGAGTGTCTTCATTCTTCTTCTGAGCCCCAGTGAGGCAGCTTTCAGGGGCCAGGGCTGGAAGTTGGGGCTCAGGAGGACCCTCTGACAGCTCTCAGACACACGGCAGGACACTGGCTTTGCAGCTCCCCACCTGCCCTGGCAACATGGCATGGTGCTTTCTCAGAAAAGCCCCAGGGCTGCCAAGTGCTCCCTGGTCCTCAGCCGTGGGGGACTCACTGTGCAGAGGTGTGTGGAGGGAAAGCAGGCCTCCAAAGCACAGCGCAGCGGATCCTAAGGACCCCACGCTGGGAGCATTTGGGTCCCAGTCACTGGTTTTCCCCCCAAAGTGGA